TGGGAATGGTACTTAAACATTGTAGATGTTGCCTTCCAGTCTTGGGTGAGCAGAATTTGTCTGTTTCTCCCCTTCTGTGTCACTTGATCACAATGGCAGTTGTGCACATGTGTTATTGGCTGCCACACTTACCACAAATATGTTTCATAATTTTCAGATATGGGGTGGAAACATTCAGAATGTCTCAGTTCTATTATGAGTGCTGCAGTGGCTTTGCATTTGTTTATTTGCAGTGTTATTAATGTCAGGATTTTTTGCACTTAATTTGATGCAAATTGAGGCTGATGTAAAGGGGTTTATGGGGTGTCATTACATGTGCTTTGTTTATTTAGCTGGCTTATCCAATAACACGACACACTGTGAGGCAGCTAGAGCCTAAAATTATGCACTTTATTTTAGATCTCAAAAAGTACAAAATATTCCACATCGTTGACATTATATTTTATTAGAGTATTAAAAAATAAAGTTAAAACAATGTAACTTAAAATAGAGAAAACTCATAACTCTTGTCACATAAAATAGAAAGGTTTGCTAATAAAGTTGTATGGAGTTCACCCAGTTCTACTTTTTCAGGCTAACAGCTTTCAGTGATATCTGTTGCTTAAGAAAGTTATCACATGTCCGTGTGTGTTCCTGGAAATTTCCTTCTGTATGTCACCTCTCAGATTTGGCTGCAGGGCTGCTTCCCACAGCAAATAGCCCCTTGTGCTTTGCAGGAGCCTCCCTGTCTTCCCTAGTTCTGCAGGTTTTCTGCTTTTGGCCTCAACTGCCTTTTCTTTCTAAATCCACTGACACTGTTTTTCAGCAAGACATCTTCTGCGGGACCCACAGAGCAAACTCCAACTGCATTGAAAAGTTTTATCATTCCTTACAGAAAGGTTTTCTTAATCTACTTGAAGACTTGACTTTATAAAGTTTGCAAAATTATGTCATATAATTGTGTCTCCCAGAAAATCTGGAAGTCGTGAAAATTACAGCCTTCATTTATGACACAATTAAATACTGTGTTAGCAGTCAGAAGCTCCTGCATCCACCACTTCTGGATGTTCACCCTTGGCCTGGGGATGGATTGCTTTCAAGGGTCTAACAGCACTTAAGTCCCTTTTCCCAAAGGAGTACCCCAGACTCGGTGCTGTTGTTCATCAGTTGTTTGCCAGAATGGAATTATAAACGAGCCCACCAACTCCTTTTGCTCATTTATCAAGAAAAGGCAGTGAAGGTAAAACCAGAACTAGGAGAAGTTCATGTCTGTCTTTTGACAGAACTGCAATTACAGCGCTGTTGCTAATATATTTCAGTCATTACCATATCAGTTGGATAGAAAAGGCTTTTTAATGAAGCACAAGTTGATGCTGTTTAGTTTACAGACTAATTTTCCATTAGCAAGGCAATTTACCACTGAACTCTTTAAAGTGCAGATCCATAGCAATTCCTGAAATAAAGACCTACTCATGCAAGTAGATTTTAGTGATGAAAAGAGGTAGAATAAACAGCATTTATCCAGAAGCAAAACTAACACTGCATTCATTAAAGATATCTATGCAAAAAAAGGGTATAGACTGACAGCAATACTTTAGATTCTAGCAAGCAAATAAATATTTCTGCCCTCAGCTGTCCCATAGAAAACATTCCGTGAATAACTGCAGAAGCACAAGAATATACCCATTTGCAGATGCATATACCAGTGAAAACTATACAGAGGAAAGTAAGATTGGCAAAAGAAATATATTTTGTATGAGCAGTGAATCAAATCTCTTCCCTTCCTTTAACCCTGGGAAGGTGATTTCTCGTTCATATCTCCTTCTGGTGAGAAGATTAATCTTAAAGCTGTATTTGGAGAGAAAATATAACTGAATTCATGTGTGAAGCTTACCTTTTGGAATTGTCTCATTAGGTAATATTCACGGGAGGTTTAGGTTGGATATTAGAAAAAGATTCTTCACCCAGAGGCTGGATGGGCACTGGAGCAGGCTCCCCAGGGCAGTGGTCACAGCACCAAGACTGACAGAGTTCAAAAAGCATTTGGACAATGCTCTCAGGCACATGGTGTGACTCTTGGGGATGGTCCTGTGCAGGGTAAGAGCTGGACTCGATGATCCTTGTGGGTCCCTTCCAACTGAGTATATTCTATGATTTTATGATTATATGACTTTATCATGATTCATTGTTAGAGTTTTTTTCTCTTATACTAGAAGATCTGCCTAAATGAATGCAACATGAGTGTAAACAAAAAACATAATATTCCAAGGATTACTGGACAGAATAAACCCAAAGTTTGAATCTGTTTCTTTAAAAAAATTTAACCTTTAATTAGGTCTTTGCTCTTTTGTCCTTAACACTGATGATGTGGTTGTAGCCTTCTGTCACTTCTGTCATGGAGGTTTCATTTTGATTGCTGGACCTTTGTTTCTAAAAGCTAAATAGCCTTATGCAAAAATAATAACTCTTCTGTGAACCATGTGATCTCCCTTGCCATCCCTGCTGCTTGGACCAATTCAGCAGGCAAAGCGTTGGGAAGGTGAGCCCGTGCCGAACAGGCCTCAGTGCTGAATTAGAGCTGGGCTGTTTTTTGAAAAGGAAGATGTTTGTGGGGAAAGAGTAGGGGCTGTTCACTCCAGAGTTACCCATTTCCCTTTCCTTCCCACTTGGAGTAACTGCTGTCACATCCAATATCAGTCACGTGTGTCATCCCTGCATTTTGAGTCTAAGCTGGTTTTGGCACATTTTTGATCTTACAGGTTGTTACAATCCAGATTTAAGATATAAGCTGCCCAGAGTGGTTACATTTTATTTAAGACTTTTTAAAAGCCTTGTAGTTCGTTATAACCTCAAATTAGCATCCAGAGAAAGAGTCACACACTCTTCTCTAAGAGAAATTCTTTTAATTTAGTGAGAAAAATAAGATATTTTGGCAAAAGGTTTTACAGGAGTAAAATACAACCAAGAAAAAAATATTTCACTAAAACAGCACAAAGACCCCTTCCCCAGTAAACACCTACTGGAAACAATCAATATACTAGCTTTAGTAGAACACAATTCATTGGTTTTAAGTTACTCACAAAAGAAGGAAAAGAGGTAAAAGAAGAAAACAGATTAAAAGAGTAAAGACAGAAAGAAGAAAGAGTGAAGGAGAGAGAGGAAAAGAAAAACCGTTACTGACAAGATCTGATGGTTCACATGGTTCAGGCTGCAGGAGAGGAGAGAAGAAGAGGCTCACATGGAGTCTCATGTATTTATGGAGTTCAGTTTTCCCTCCCAGGCAGGATACCTGGTCAGTGCCTTCCAAGCCAGAGTGAGTTGTGCTGTAGCCAGTCACAGGCTCCAGGGGCATGGTGTGAGTGGGCTACCAGCAGGTCTGCCTTGACTGAGAGCTGGCTACGGGGCCTTCATCTCTGCCATGTGCTCTGCATGGGCTCAGCCGTGTTGGCTCTGCCATGTGCTCTCAGCAGGCTTTATGTGCAGGCCTTACCATGTACCTGCAGGCCTAGGCCCAGCCCTTCCCCACACACACTCACAGTGAGTTGGTTCCGACCCATATCAATAATTCAGTGAGATTTGGATCCAGTATCTCACACAGGTCTTACATCTACTTCGTCCATAGGAGTTTGGTTCTTAGGCAGGTGGTCAGTCCACACACCTTCATCCATGTCGTACTGACCTTGTCAAATCTTATTACCTACAGGAATAGGGTCTTTTTTTTTCAAAATGACATGACCAACTAAATCTGTGGTGAATTGTTTGATAAATGAGAGAGTGAAGTGGGTTGGAAAAATGAAAACCCAAGAAGGTGCAGCGGCATCTTCTGAAATATCAGATGCAATTGAAAGAAAATAACTGACTCCTATAAATTCCCTGATTCAGTATAAATATCTTAATCCTGTTCAGGATGTATTTAGGGTTAAATAATGTAGAGTTATACAACTAAACAGTGGACCACATGCAACCTTGATGGTCTATTTGAACATGTATTTTGGGTAGTGAGCACTGTCATTCCTCTTGGGAACCTTTCAGCGCTAGTGAGGACATTCTGCATAAACAGATCTGTTTTAGTGGCTAAAATCAGCTATTTGTATAACACACAAGTGGAATTTCATACTGCTATCCTAATCTCAAGTGTTTTCTTTCACCGCCTCTTCTGTTTAAGAGGATCTGGTAACTTTCATCTTATTTCTACTGTAAAAACATGCAAACAATATATTTAAGTCAAAATCCCCCGGAGAATAGCATTTAGAAAGAATATTGTGTCATGATTGCTTCTCCCCTAGAACACTGCAAACTGCCTGGTGGTTTAATAGTTTCCTATTTGAAATACCACATGTTAAAAGATGGTGATCTCAGTATTTGGGACTGCATCTACAATCATCTTCCACAAGTTTAACACTTCTGTTAGATTTGCAGCAATCTGAATTCTCCTCAGTACTTTTTGTGAAAAATATTCAGTAGCTTCCTAGTCAGTATTTAGATAAATCAAGGCATTCTGCTTTCAATTCTTTCACAGTTACACTGTTTTTCAAAAGCCCTGTCCCCTCTTTTCAGTATTACATATTTGACCAGAGTCTAGATTTTGCTATCACTTCATCAAGTCTTACAGATAAAATATTTTATTTTAACATTTTGAGTTCAACATGAACACTTTTACAGGCTATGATTAGGGTTAAGGTAAAGCTTTTGAGTTCATGGATATTTCATACTTACATCTTAAATACGTGTTGTTTTATAATAGTTTCTCAGCACGCAGCAACAAAACTAAAACGTTGGTTTGTCTTCTGCATTTCAGGATTTGAATCAAGCCTCATTGCTCCCACCAAGAAGATTTTGAAAGTGTACATATTTTTTTTTTAAAGGATTTTGCTGGTCCTACCAGAAATTAAGTAAGCCTGATCACCTGAGTTCAGTTCTTGCTTTGACTTGGAAACGTCTTACTGCAACTAGCATCAGGACTAGATCCAATCCTTTTGCTCATTTGGGTGCAACACTTGTTTTCTCCTGTTTTGTGACAGGTAACCTGGGGTCCCAGCTGGTTGAGTATAAAGAGGAGATGTACATAACGTCTGACTGTGGGAACACGTGGCGTCAGGTAGGAAACATAAATTATCAAGGACCCTGGAAATAATTTTAATGTACCAAATGTGATGAATTTTATAATGCTTAACTAATCTTTAGATACCCACTCTTTTGAAGGAGGGGGCCATTATTATCTCCATTTTGCTTGGAAACTAAGAGATTAAAGAGATGAAAATATTCAAATTTCATTGGAACCTGACAGCCTGATAAATTTGAGTCTTTGCAAATCCCTTCTTAAAGATCTTAAAAGTATCTTATGCAAAAAACATAGCATCTGTTTAGTTTTTTAAGAATTTAAATAATCTTCCTATGATAATTATGAAGTGGACTTGGGCTAGATCTTGCAATACAAAGATTCCAAGCTAAAAGACATGGTTTAGGTACAAAGGCAGAAATTCTTCAGCTTCATAGTCTGAAAACTGTTATTTAAGCATAAACTTTGTTCTTCATTGAAACTGAGTGAAAATGTATTTTCAAAAAAAAAAAAAATCTTTGAATGTCTTTTTGTATGATTTAATAAATTCAGGGAATACAAATACCAAAGTACTAAAAAGAGAACAATGATGTGTTAATGCTGTCTGAATTCTGGATGTCTTTTGCTTCCACTGCCTAGAATCAGTTAAAGCATTGCACATTTATTATGTATCCTAAACTGCCTTGTCTCAGTGTGGTGAAACTGCCTTGTCTCAGTGTGGTGGGTTTATCCTGGCTTAATGCCAGGTGCTCATCAAAATCACTTTATCACTACCCTCCTCAGCTGGACAGGTGAGAGAGGATATAAAAAAAACTTGTGGGTCAAGATAAGTCACCAATTACTGTCATGGGCAAAACAGACTCAACTCGGGAAAGATTAATTTAATTGCCAATAAATAACAGAGTAGGATAGTGAGAAATAAACCCAAATTTTAGAATACCTTTCCCCCACCCTTCCCTTCTTCCCAGCTCAGCATTATTCACAGATTCTCTGCCTCTTCCCCCCAGCAGCACAGGGGGATGGGAAACAGGGTCTGAGGTCAGTTCACCACACGTTTTCTCTACCGTGCGTTCCTCCTCATGGGGAAGACTCCTCACACTCTTCCCCTGCTCCAGTGTGGGGTCCATCCCACAGGAAATAGTTCTTTATGAACTTCTCCAATGTGAGTCCTTCCCATGGGTTGTAGTTCTTCATGAACTGCTCCAGCATGGATCCCTTCCACAGGGTGCAGTCTGTCAGGAACAGGCTGCTCCAGCGTGGATCCCTCATGGGGTCACAAGTCTTATCAACAAACCTGCTCCAGTGCGGGCTTCCCATGGGGTCACAGCCTCCTTCGGGCATCCACCTGCTCCATGAGCTGCAGGTGGATCTCTGCCCCACCATGGACCTTCATGGGCTGCAGGGACAGAGCTACCTGAGCATGGCCTGCACCATGTGCTTTAGGGGAACCTCTGCTCTGGCAGCTGGAGCACCTCCTCCCCTCCTGCAATGACATGGTGTCTTGAGGGCTATTTTACTTACATATTCTCTACTCTTCTCTCCTGCTGCAGTTGCTGTTGTGCAGGTTTCCCCCCACCTTCTTAATTACGTGATCCCTGAGGTGCTACTGCTGTCTGACTGGCTTGACCTTGGTCGGTGACAAGTCCGTCCTGGATCTGGCTGGTGTTGGCTCTGTTTGGACATAGGGAAGCTTCAGGCAGCTTCTCAGAGAAGCCATGCAAACCCAATACACTCAGCAATGCATATTCACAGGGATACTTTCTTTCTATATATATATATGGCAACAATACACAATATGATGCGGATTCTACTTATAATATGTATCCAGGAGAGAAAAAAAAACCACCCTCAAAGGACTAAAGCATGTCAAAAAATAATTTCATTTCAGTTAAAATAGTGGTTTAGTGTTTAGCTGTAATCAAATTTAGTTATTTTCTGAGAACAATTAAATGTGAAAATGTTCTTGGTAGTGTTACTGAACTTGGGGAATTTAAGGTTAAAAGAGGAAAATACAGACAGTTTCTTATATTGCTATTGTAGGATGCCGTTAATACTCTGGTTTTAAAAGGACTTTTAAAGAGAAATATGTTATTTTTGTCATGAGAATGTCTTTTGATGTTTAAAAGATACAATTTTATGCCAAATCCCTTCTTGAAACCTAGAATATGATAAATAGGTGTTTAAATGCAAAAGTCTTCCAGGATTTACAATGGGTACTGTGTTTTTCAATACTTCATAGAGGTCTCTCTCATAATTTATTGTCAGCATTTGCCAAAGTTTTATAGTTTTTCTGGGTTTAAAAATAGGAATAAAATAGTGAAGGGGATCAAATCCATATTTTACTGCTTTTTATTTGTAAGACACTCAGGTAAATGATGTGTTGCGACTTGACCCTAAGGTGCCTATTCGTGCTGTAAAACCAACCATAAACTGACCCCTCATTGTGACAGTTGAAATGGAAAACACCGTTGCTAGCTTTATTTTAATTAAAACTGCTTCAAAGCCTTTGAAAGAGCTTGCTTAATCCTAATATTTGCAATCAGAATTAAATAGTAGATTATTGCATGCATTTTATGGCCTCACTGCTCACGACCAAACAGTTCTTCCAGATGACAGCAGTACATTTCCTTTCTCTGTTGGAGTTCATACAATGAGAGAGAAGGCTTCAGTCAGGTGATATGGGAATTTAAATAATTCAGTAAACTGCAGGTCTTGTGAGCTGGTGAATGCAGAACAAATCCCATGCTTCAACACAACTCTTCATCTGAGTTTAAGTTTCTGACTTGGAGACTTTGTGGTTGTCATTAGTGAGTACCTGGCACCTTTGTCATGTGCTCACAAAATGTTACAGGGCTGTTCACAGACTAGAAGGGGAGCAGTCTGTTGTTTGTGTATAGAGGCAGAGCAACGCAGAAAAGTAAACATGAGACTTAGGAGAAAAGGCAGTTCAAGGAATTAATTAAAAACTTTCTTAAAATAATAACAGTATTGGTTCATAGGAATATAGAACTATGGAGAAGGTCAAAGATCATGTAATTCAACCATGTGCTCTGAGACAACATCAAATGTACTAGGAACATCTCTGCAAGAACTGTTTGTTAATCCTTCACTGTAGGAGATTCAGGCTACATGGTGTTTCACCTTTCTTCATAGATTTTTCTGAATATTTTACATAAGCTGACTGTTCCTTTTGCTCTTGTTCTTACAGTTTCACAAATTCTACAGGGTGATTTCTTCTTATCTTTAGAGAGGAGTGGTTTCCTGTCACCTTTGAATAACTTTAGATGTTGAAAGGTTATTATAAGGTCTATACAGACTGTAGGGATTTTCCCGTTGGAAACAGCAAACTCAAACTCGCTGATTTTCCTAGTGAATCAAATTTTTGAAGTGGGTTTTTTTTGTTGTTCTTCATTTATTGGACTGTCTAATATGACATGCCTCTCCTGAAACATGGTAAAACTGAATGCGAAATTACAAATTTTATCAGTACTAAACAGAAGAAAATTATTGCCTTTGATGTTTTGACATTACTGGCACCCCATTTCAGAAGATTTCTATTCCTTGCAGAAGCATCACATTGTTGATGCAAATCCAGTTTGTGATTCTTAACTGGAGCCACTCCCTGAGTTTGTAATACATTCTCACTTTAACAACAATCTGCTGATCATTTTCTTTCCATAATTTCTTAACCAGCTGTATATACTTAGATGATTTTAAGGCTCATGGAGGTTCTTTTTGCTCTCTACAATTACCTGAAAGATAATTGTTGTAAAAAGGTGGAGATTGGTCTCACCTCCCAGGTAACAAGCAATAGGACAAGAGGAAACAGCCTCATCTTGCACCAAGAGAGGTTTAGATTGGATATAAGGAAAAATTTCCTCACTGAAAGGATGGTCAGGCATTGGAACAAGCTGCCCAGGGCAGTGGTTGAGGCACCATTCTTGGAAGTGTTCAAATAACATGTGGATATGGTACTTAGGAACATGGTTTAGTAGTGGACTTGAAAGTGTTCAGGGTTCATGGTTAGACTCAATGATCTTAGAGGTCTTAATGATTCTATGATTCCGTGATTTCACCTGAACCCATATTTCCATAGCTTGCATATGGTGTGGTCATTGGAGAGTACAGGAAGACTTACATATAAACATGGCCAGTGTTTACAGATAGAAATAAATCCCTAAATGGGAGTTCTGTGAAATTAAGTAAATACTGGGGATAAATGGAAATGTTTGGGGAAATAATGGAAGTTTGATGAGGAGGATTATAAACGCAGTCAGGTGATGTGCAGCTCGGGTGTCAAAACCCCACATATATTGTTGTTTGGCCTTATGTGCTGGCCAAGTAGAACATCTATGTTTAGATAACATAGGTCTGTGATAGCCTTAGAGGCACACTGTCACACATGCTTGAGATCCCCTAAAAGATTAAAGCAGAGTGGTAAATTATGTCTGAGCAAATCCCTGAAATACATGTGAAAACAGCAGGATGGGTGATCCTTTTGCATGGCCTGAGCTCTTCAGTTCCTGCATTACCACTTGTGTGTAGTGAACCAGGTGCTGCTTCAGCCCCTGGTTGGCCAGGTAATGAGAATAAATTTACTCTTTGCATATCATCTGTGGTTTTGTGGTTGTTCCTGTGTCCTGACTCTGCCAGCTCATGCAAAAAGTAAAAACAAGGACCGTGATTCTAAGTAACCACAATATCACTTGGGTTGGCTCTAGTTGTTCTTCTGCCTTTCTATTGCATGGTGCCTGAGCTGCTTGTTGGAATATCTTGTAACCATCACTCTTTTCTTATGAAAAACTGAAATTTGTAGCTGTATACTGTACAACATTGCACTGCAAATAGCAGTAGTTTAGGAGCTGATTGATAAGCAGGTTAGACATCCATGCAGCAACAGGGAACTGATCTGTAGGAGAAGGGAATCTCACCTTGACGATCATGAACTAAGTGGGCTTAGAATCAGAATTGTAGTCGTAGAATTGTTTAGGTTGGAAAAGACCCTTAAGATCATTAAGCCCAGCTATAAAAATAAGTGCCAAGAGGGCCATGAAGGCATAGGCTATGGTAAACTCATGGAATAGATAAGTTTATTTGAAAGGCTTCCCTGTCTGTTCTACCAGCAAAACAGTATCACAAAATGCATAAATGAACATGAAATATTGGAATACTCTGTTAAATGCTAAGGATGACCTTGTATATATATATAAGTGGGTTTATTTCTTTAAAATACTAATTTCTGTTCACAGTTGTGGTTGCTGTTGCTATTTCAACAGCGTCTGCTAGCACACTGTATTTGAAATAGGACAGAGTAAGAGAAAGGTCTGGCTTTCAAAAGAAATGGCATAAATAAAAGGAAAAGAACAGCAAAAACCTTTCATATTTGATCCACTACCAAAGTAGCTCTTGTAGCAGCAAAATGCTTGGTTAAGCTAATAAACAGAAAGTCTGTTGTATGTCTAGGAACTGAATCTAGATCTCTGGAACTTTAGTGCTTTTTTTTTTATTGGAATATTATTTCTCTGAGTTAAATTCTTTTGCATCAAAGCAACTTGGAAAACTTTGTTTAAGAGAGAATACTTGTTTTCCTGCAGACATCTCAAGAGGTGGATGGTAACAAATTTAAGCACAGCAAAACAGGCTAAAATTCCAGCCTTTTAACTCTAGGAAGTTTTCATTTCCAGAAAGCAGAGATAAATATTTACTTTTATGCATGAAATTGTTAATTCTTTTCAATGTACTGAAGATGAAGGGTTGCTTTCATAAGGAATTTCATACAGTTTCGTTATAAAATGTTTGAAGTATGTGCAAGAAAAGCATGATATAATGATGGCATTGATATGTGTGTAATGTGTCTGTTGTGCTAAAGCAGGATACTAAAATGATACATGGGGAACTGCCATGCTGCTTCTCTGGGAAAACCTTATTTGGATAAACTGGTACAGATACCAGCTTCCTTTATCCTCATTATGATGCTGAAGCTTTGGGAGACTTCATGTCCCAGCATAAACTGTTGCATTTTGATTTGAGCAGAAGTTCAAACAAAGTTTAGAGGAGGATCAAAACTCTGCTTGCTTTTCTGACTCCAGCTGATCTCATCCTTTTGAAGTGCATCTAAAATTAATGTCTATCCTTTCCTGAAATCTCTTCTAAAATATACAGCTGTGTAGAATAAGTAGATAGGACTATAAATGCCTCGTATCAGGGTTTTGCCTGTAAGTTTGCAACATTGAAGAACTGATCAGACACTTGAAACCCTAGGATTCCCATAAAATATGTTCTTACTAGATGAGAGGAAGACTGAATTCTCAACCTAAATTAAATGCTTACTATTTTTTGAAGTAATTGTGGGTGTGCTTTAGGATATTTCCACTGCAGCTCTGGTTCAGTCTTGCTGATAAATTCTCTAAATGTAGCACTCACTTTTGCCAAAAAAAAGAAAAAAAAGCATTTGTATTGTCAATATTTTTTCATTCACACAGCAAAGTAAAGCTAAATTTTATGGGTTTTACCTTTGCTTTGACCACATGTTTGTCTTATGTGTGTGATAACTCTCACCTTGCCACTTACTCTTGTGTTAAATGAACTTTCACATGTTAATAACACAAGTAAACCATGTCTTAAAACAGATTTCAGATGTAAGAAAGGGAACATATCTACCTGTGGATTTATTTTAGTACTACTGATGACTTCTAGAAAAGAAATTTAAATAATTTAAGAAATTTTTAATCATTTATACCATTAAATCAGTATTACATGTATTTTGGTTCAAAACTCAGAGTGGCCTCCAAGGGAGATCACGTGTTTGAACTTAAATAAATCACTGACACTGGAAATGCAGAAAACATACTTGTACCAATTATTTCAAGTTCTGTAGTTTCTGGGTAACGTGAGAAAGTCAGGGGCAGCAATACTCTTCCTATTTTTCTTAGCATTAAACTACAAAGCATTTTATTCTGCAAGGTACACAGAATATGGCAAATACCAAAGTAAGGTGATAGGTCACTTGGTGATATATAATAGGAAGGAATGCAGAATGCACACTGTGAGAAATATCATCTTGGGCTAAAATCATTTTAGGCAGTTTAATCTAACTGTGATTTGAACCTGAACGTTTTGTGATTCACCTACTTAACTTCCTTTTCTTTTACAGCTGGAACAAATACAGGAGTTAACCTGACTTTTATGTCCTTTTCAGTTTGAAGTGTGGACATTGTAAAATATAAAAGTCTATTAATCCTTGTTTGCTTGTACATTTTATTTCAGCTGTTTTGTACATTTGCTTAGCTGGCCTTTTTTTGTCTGACTTTTGTAGGTCTTTGAAGAAGAGCACCATATCTTGTACTTGGACCATGGTGGAGTTATTGTGGCTATCAAAGACACCTCTATCCCTCTGAAAATACTCAAGTAATCCTACAGTCAATTAGAGTAGAGCTATTGTGTATTCAAGACCTCAGGCAAAGTTCAAAGTTAAAGATAAGCATTTTAACATGATCATGTATGAAACGCAGGTGGAGTCAGCTTAATTTAACATTCATTAAGTCAATAAAATGCAGTTGGATGTTTCCTTAAAGATTATTTCATGGTGCTGAAGATAGCATGGCATAATGCATTAATCATAATAAAATTTCCTTGCATCAGTGTAGGGTTTTTTTGCTTCAAAGACTATTCTTGAAATCTACAGTACAAGCCATGTTCAGCATGATTGTTATCTTCTGCTGTTTGACACCAGCAGTGCGTGTCAATGATGCTCAACCTATGATGCATATGTGGCTTAGGCATGCAGTCAGGATAGTTCATTGGTACTGTAATAGATCTCTGTCCTCTCCCAGGGCCACAGTGAAATTGGAGAATAACCCCTAGTCTCTCTGGCAAGAGCAATGTAATGTAGACTTTGAGAGCCAACAGGCAAAGTTAGGTGCGCTTATGTACCGTGTAATATGATCTGCCAGAAACACAGTTTGTAACGTGCATAGATCCTGTCATACAGGGATAATGCAGCAAGTGGTCTTCTCAGCTTCTTTGGCTGAGAAGGAAAGGTTTGCTGCAAAGCATTTTGTTATAAAATATCAAGTTTTAGACTGCATGATAGTGCAGCAAAATATGGTAACCTTATGCAATGGCATGCAGAACTATGATTTTCAGCATAAAAAACTGTAAGAGATCTTTATCACTTGTGACTAGGTTAATTTTTGCAGAATTGCATACAGTAATAGGAACTAGCTGTGTACTTGGTTAGCTAGAATGAGGCATCATTAACCTACTATCCGAAAGACCTGGAGGAAATGTACAGAAGAAAAGAGACTTTGATTCCTAAATTTTGGATGCACAGAATATTTGAAATATGTTTGGTGGATTCATCAGCATCTCCTGCAAATTTTTAAGTGGCTGGTAGTAGCTGTGAAGGGCCATCATCATCTCGGTGCCTGCAGTTACTGCATCTCCCACATGTTTTAGCAGTTGGGCTCTTTTGCTTCTCGTGTTTCACTGACCTCTGCTTAACAGGTCTCTAGTCAGAGGCTACTAGAAAGAATGAAGTGTAAATTAACTTGCTTTTGAAGCCACAAGGTAGGAACATAGTTTGTTGACAGAGCTCTTTTTATCTCCCTGAGAATTTTTATTGTTCTGGCAAATTTATCATACACCTTCTCATAAAGATGTGAACCACTGGATATGATGCCGAAAAAAGATCACATTACTATGATACACTGTCTAGGCATATTGTATTTTTTAGATCAAAAATCCTAGGCTTTAGTAGTGAGTTGGGGTTTTTTTAAGTGAATTTTGCTTTGTATAGTAATAGTTGAAAATGAAAACCATTTCTGCTTTTTTACAGGTTCAGCATAGATGAAGGCCAGACTTGGAGCACACATAATTTTACCAGCACTTCAGTCTTTGTAGATGGATTACTTAGTGAACCTGGAGATGAGACACTGGTCATGACGTAAGGTTTTGGTTTCATCTCTGCTCTCAGGGCTCTCTCTCTGCTTATGCACTTCAGCATATTTTCAGTTGTGCATGTTTGAGATAGTCCTTGAGTCAGTGGCTTTTGCTTCTTGCAGTCACACAGACTCTTACACTGATGTCCAAACTGCCCTGATATGTAACCTGTCTTAGAAATTATCTGAGTACAGTATTTCAAATTGTAAAAAGGATTATGTTCATAAGAAATCTTGCAAAGATACCACCAGGGAAAGTGGAATAATAAAACAGCAGTACAAATCTGAAAAACGTAGGGAACCCCCCCCCCATTTTCTCCATTTTTTTTCCCTGTGGATTTTTAGTCAGACATCAAAAAATGTTAAATATCTATTGTCTTCAAGTGTAAGCAACTATATTGTTGTCCTAGTAACTAGCATTGCAGTACTTTGTGTAACCCAGCACTGTGCTAACAAATGCCTGTTTTTATTCTGTGCGGTGACTGAGGCAGATGCTGTGAATAGAGTTAAAAATAGCCAAATTCTGCAACTCAGGCCCCTGTTTATCTGTCTCTTTCCAAAGGGCTAGGGACATCTGGATCTGAGCTGAAGGTTTTGCTACATCTCCACAGTAAATGCTAATATTTTAGAGGTGTCTGAGAGTAAAAAAACCTGTCCAGTTAGGGAGAAAGGCACCTGCTGGCTGCAGCCAGAAAGGGGAGTGCACTCAGAGATGTGCAGGTTGTTGTATGTGCTGCTATCACAGCAGTTTGTGCGATCCTTTATAATGGAGCTCAGTGTCTTCATGACAAGCTTTTTCTCCTAGGAGTTACAGATAGAGCTACCTTTGACCAGTAGCATTTTCCCCAGGGAAAAATAAATTAATAGCCCAATGTGGACTTGTGTAAAGGATCCTCAGCAAAACAGAAATCCTACCTGATATACTTAAAAGCATAATGACTTCATAATGCTGTACTGCACAGAGGTGAATTTGTTATTTCTTTCTTTCTCCTCTGCCTCATTTATCCTCCATTATACATTTATGGCCTGAGAAGAACAGTATTATCCCACCGTCTTCCCCTTCTCTCAAACACAAGTTTATTTATGGTATAATATATGCCACATGAAGACACTTATGCCTCTGAATGAGGGATTTATTTCCATTGGCTTCAGTAAAAGCAGAGGGATCACAAGCTTATCCTAAACTGTACTTACTGGCAGATAAAACGATGTGTGATGACTATATGCTCTGGGTTGTTTTTTTTTCTTAGTAAGTATCATTAAAAACAGTGATTTGGTGAAGATGTGTTTAAATACTGGCTGAATGGACTAAGGAACTCTTATAAAACATGATGCTTTTTTAAAATCATCAATCCGAAATATATAAAATTGTAGCTAGTTTTGTTACCTGAGCCCAGACTGACAAAAAAGCATCATATGACATATATTTCTAAAGGCAGAACAAGAGTCTGACTCCAGCATCTCAATGCCAGACTTGTAGGATCTTACTTTTTAGCTAGCTCTACAGAACATGGAGGACATCAAACATGATTCATATCACAGACTGGCCCTGAAAACACTTTCAACCTTCCTACCAGAATCTAAAGATAATGAGAAGAATAAACCTGCTGTATGTGTTGTGTTGATGCTGTTGTATCAGCTTCCTTGTCTCTCCTGCTGCTTTTGATTGCAGCTTTACCTTAAGGGTGATGCTGTCAGCCCAGCGGTGCTCAGTCTGACTTAATGTCAAGACGTTTTGTCGTTCTGTCTGGCTTAGTTCATTTTCTCTGAAAACTTATTCTTGCACTAAGTTGTTGTGCTTGAGTTCATCTACAGTGATTTGCTGGTTTTGAGTAATGTCGTCCCTTAATACACACTCCCTGGAAAAAAACAAAAATCAACTATGCCACATTTTTCATTTTATTAGATAAAAATTTCTTCTGAGTAGAACATAGTAAGATGAACCTGTGTCTGGTAATGGAAATAAATTAGTAGTGTCTTTCACCTTGAGGAATCCCTAAATCCATTACTAAGGACCTAGTCTGACATTTTTCAATAGTGTGGGAATTTGATTTTCTCCCTTTAGTATGAAGGTTTTTTGAATAAAGACTTTGAATAAAGAGTCCAATGTCAAAATGTGCATACATTAGGACAGAGAGCATAATTCTGAATTGGGAAGGTAATAACTGTAAAAGTCTGCAGCAAAATTGAGGAACAGACAGTATTTTATTTAAAACTTCTAGAATAAACTCACAAAGGAGTCAAAGAATATTTTTCTTGTATAGGAAATCACTGTTACAGTAGGGTAAAGTCCTATTTTCACTGAAGTCAACTTAGGGATTTCCTTCAAGGTTTTTAATTTGTATTAAAAGAAAAAAAATCCATAAAAAGGTTATCTGGGAAAGATATTAAGGGATCTGGTAACACTATCTGTAAGAGAGATTTCTCATCCTCCAGCATGGTGTCTGGGATATTGACCTGACTTGGAAGTGACTTGCATTTGAATTCCAGTTCTGCCTTAACTTATCCAAAGTCACAGAATCATAGAGTCAAAGAATGCTTTGGGTTGGAAGGGCCCTTCAAGATGCCCAATGCCCCTGCCATGAGCAGGGCTTTCACTACAACTAGTTACTCAAAGCCCATCTAACCAGGCCTTCAACACTTCCCGGGATGGAGTATCCACAACTTCTCTGGACAACCTGTGCCAGTATCTCACCATGTTCCCAGTGAAGAATTTCTTCCTAGGATCTAATCTCAGCCTTCATCTTAAGGCCATTCCACCTTGTTCTATCACTACATGCCCTTGTGAAAAGTACCCCTCCAGCTCTCTTGTAGCTCCCTTTCAGGTACTGGAAGCTACTGTAAGGTCTCCCTGGAACCTTCTCTTCTCCAGGCTGAACAACCCCAACTCTTTCAGCCTATCGCCATAGGACAGGTGCTCCAGCCTTGTTGAACTTAATAAACTCTACCCAGGCCCTCCTCTCAAGCCTATCAAGGTCCCTCTGGATGGCATCCCTTCTCACCACACAGTTTAGTGTCACTGAAAAACTTGCTGGGGGTGCCCTCGATCCCGCTGTCCATGTCACCAGCAAAGATATTAAACAGCACCAGTCCCAATACTGACCCCTGAGGATGTCACTCATCACTCTTTTCCATTCTAAAATGAAGTGGTCTGGTAAGCTTTACTGAAGAGGCAGGAGAATGTAAACCTGGTTGCCTCAAGTCTTCATTTTGGAAAGTTTTGTGTTTTCTCCAAAACAGAGAAGAAAACCAAATGTTACCTTGTCAAAAGTTTTCATAAAACTGAGTTGTCATCCGCCAGTCAACATTAATCTAAATCATTCATCCAAATCCCCTGCAGTATTCAAAATATGTACACACAAATGCCAAGGAAAATATATTTTATTCAGTTGTGCTCTGCAAAAGACCTAGTCAAGATTTTTAGGAGTTTTAAGTGATAAAGTATTCAAAAACTTTAGGAAACTCATTCTGTATAAAACCCAAATTCTAAAGAGACCTAGTTAGGAGTTTTAGGAAGGATAAGTAATAAAGTATTCATAAAGTTTAGGAAACTTGATCTGTGGGAAAATCACCTTCTAAATGAAGAGCTCAAATCTGCTATTTATTTTTACTTAAATGAATAAATAGTCTTCGTTAAGAAATTTTCTCGACTGATTGATATATTTTCATCAAAATATTGTATGGTCTAGTAGGTTTTATTTTGTGCAAAATTCTTTAAGAATGAAAGGTACTGCAACCCAGCTTTATACTTAACAATCTTATATTTGGGAAAAATTACTTAATAACACTGGATCGAGTAACTACCTAGCAGTGCAAAAGGAAGAATTTTTGTGTGTCTAAAATATTGATGTTCCTCTTCAGAGGAATTAGTTAATGTAATAAAAGATTTAAGCCTGTTAAAATTGCTTCTAAAATCACATTTCAGCTTCTGAGAGTGTTTCCCAAACCAGGTTATTTAGATTGCAGTGTGAACCCAGTAGGCACAATAACCATGGTTCCACAGTCCATGGCCCCTTTTAAAAGGCCAATAAGAGGTTACATAAAAGGACTGCTTTTCTTTATGTCAGGTAGAATCAAAATCTTCCTCATTGGTAATTGTATTTTTTCCAGAGGGATATTTTTTTCTATTGTGTCCTAGAGTAGCAACTTAGGATGCTGCTGGGAAATTTATGACATCTCTGAACTGAAGAACTCCTACATGCACATTTTTCTGTCTTGCAAGTTCATTGTTGCATTCCTTTTGGGTTCATAGGTGATAATGGAAACAAGAAGATAGTCAAATTACTCAAAACCAGGTGGATATTAACAGGTGTTAGATATTAGGGAGAGCCATCTGGATTTTTGTAGCTGTTGATTTTGCTAGGAATGTCAACCTCACCTTTAACAACATAAGTAACAGTCAACATTACATGTAGTTTGTGGGGCTTATTGTGTCACTCATGGCAGCACACTGCTGTTGTCTTTGAGTATCTTACTAGGTGGAGACACTTCTCTGTATTGTGAATGCTTCACTAACTTTCTTGTACTGCAGCACTTGTAAAAGGTAGAGAGATGGTAGATAAAGCCTCGTAAGAGAGAATAGCTGATTTCCGAAGGCAAATTCTAGATTGTCTTTGCAGCTAGTTAATCTCTTGCTCAGTTATTCTGCTGTCTCCATGAGAAAGGATATGTCTGTCAACAGATGGAGAAAATGTGGTGAAAAAAAGTATTCAAAAAATAAACTTGTTCCTCTGCTCCAATATAATCTAGGTATCAGTTCATGCAGGTGTACAGGTGCCTGTTTAGTAGCAATCTAATGCTTTTGCTGTCATCTCTGTAGATAAAGATGTTAGCAGAGGAAGTCAGTGCATTGTAGTGTCACTGCCTTGGAGCCAAGACCTGTCTCTCTCTCTCTGCTCAAAAGAAGTTCAGTGGGTGAAGTTTTGGTTTTTTAATTTCTTTCATTGAAGCTTCATAGTGTACTCAGAAGCATGATGCTTTCAATGTCACTCTAAAGCCCATATTT